GAGCGCGTCTACTTTGAGATCAGTCAATCTAGCCGCACGCAGTGGGAGAAGCCTCAGGTGAAGGAGTCGAAGCGGCAGTTCATTTTCGACGTGGTTAACGAAGGTGGCGAGAAGGAGAAAATGGAGATGTTTGTCAACTTCTGCGAAGACACAATCTTCGAGATGCAGCTGGCGGCTCAGATCTCTGGCTCTGAAAGCGGAGAGCGACACGGGGGAGAAGAAGAAGAAGAAGAGGAAAACGAAGACGGAGGCCTGGATAAGAAGCGAATGTTTTTCATGTGTTCACCGACGTCTCTCATATCTATCAAAAAGCTTCGCGCTCTCACAAAAATGACCCTGAAGGATGTCCTCTTGTCATCTGTTGCACTCCTCAGAGTCCTTCTCGTTACTTTGCTCCGGTTCGTTTGTTTTGTAGTGAGCGGCACTAGCCACGTGCTCTACGTCGCTTTTGTCAATGGCGGACTCATCGAAGGGGCCAAAAGGATGACCCTGTCGGACGTGCTCGGCGGTATTCTCGACCCGACGCTTGATGAGGTCACGGAGGTAACAAGTGGTGCGGACCGGCTAAGGCGGCGCTCGGCCGCTTTCTCCCCTCGGCGGGAGAGCAGGCAGATAGAAGCCGTGACCTCCGGCATGGAGACGGACGTACTTTCTGACATATTTGGCCTCAAAGTCAAAAGAGACGGGGGACAATACAGCCTCGTGGCACAAGACGTGACGAGCCATCTCACAGATGTGTTCATCCGCAGTGACGCTACGTTTTCCGATGGACATCAGGGGCTGGTATTTGTTTCTATGAATTGTATCACTTGCAAAGTATTGAGTCAGTGAATTCACCGTCGATTGAAATAACTTTTTTTTTTTTTGGGTGACCAGCTCAAGGCTGATGTGGCTGAAAAGGAAAAAGCTGAGAAAGAGATGATGCCTGAATCTGAAAAGTGAGTCATTTCTTCATGAAAACAGACTGTAGGCTTTGTTCAGAATCAGTCTCTCATTCCCGACTCCTGAATCACCATATAGGAAATTTTATATCGAGGACTGTATTGTTCACGCAATCAAATGGGGGGAAAAAAAACCCCAAAACAAAATGATGTGCTCACCACTATTTTCATCATGCTGTGTTTTTAAAAGTGACTTGTTACAACCGTGTCGGTGTATGGCTGATTGCTACAAGTGTTCCCTTCTTTCCCTCTTGATTTATCTCGTTGCAGATGGGAGACGTGTGAGGAGACGATGTCGAAGGGGGAGGAACGGAAAGCCAAGAGACTCGCTAATAAATCAGAGGAAGCAGGAAGCCGGCATTCCGCTTTGGGAGAGATGATAAGGGCTCATCACAAGAGCTTACTGGTCAGATTCAAAAACAAATAATAATAATAATAATAATCATATCGAAATGCCTCGATGTTATGTAGTTGAGCAAACTGTAATGTTCTTCCATTTTCCCTGCAGAATTACTTTGCCAGGACATTTTATAACCTGCGCTTGCTGTCCCTTTTTGTCACCTTTGCAATCAACTTCATCCTCCTCTTCTATAAGGTTTGTGCGAATGCAGTTGCCATTCGCAAATTTCAAATGAAAATCAAAGTCACGATATCGGGCTGACATCAATTGAATGGTGCCGCGGATAGGCGAATACGAATTTTGAACTTCCGCACCGATTTTTACGTGTGTGAGAGACCCCCGCGAGTGACCAGGAGAACACTGGCGAGTGTGTGTTCTCATCAAAACTCCATATTGCCACGCAATCAACCACCGAAAACACCCGCAAGACGGAAGCGTAGGGGCCGAAGACAAAATACAAGAAGCCAGCCTAACCGTGATCATAACTGGTAACTCGATTGTGCTCGCGAGCTGTTTATTTGTGATGCGTTCAACTGACGCCACCAACTCACGTCAACATGAGCTTCAGCCTGCTTCCAAAGTAGCTATCGTTACATTTCACGTCACAACCACAGAGCCCCAGGCTCAGCCCCACCTGGGCCTTCGCACACTTTTTTTTTTTTCTTCATCATAAATATTGACGTGTAACCTTTTATTTGTTGACGCATAACAACTCCCTAATGACAAAACACATTTCGGCTCCATGTGCATATTGACTCCGGTCTTGCCACCTTCTCACCAGGTAGTATCATTGCCAACGTCACCCGAAAAAGAAGCGGGCACATCACTTGAATCAGTGGATGAGGGAGACGAGGGCGGTGATTATTATGTTTTGGAAGAGAGCAGTGGTTACATGGAGCCATCACTTCCCCTCCTGGCCATGGCGCACACGCTCATCTCCTTCTGTTGCATTATAGGTTACTACTGCCTCAAGGTACACCCGCTCAAATCACTTCGTCATATGGGCCTGCAAAGAGCTTTTTGGGTTTTGTTTATTTATTTATTTTTTTTACGGTACACAAAACGGCTGCATTGTTTCAAAGCGTGTGCTCGGCAGGTACCGCTGGTCATCTTCAAACGGGAGAAGGAAGTGGCCCGACGACTTGAATTTGACGGCCTGTATGTGGCACGGCAGCCCCCGGAGGAGGACATTAAAGGCCAGTGGGATCGGCTGGTCATTAACACGGCGTACGTTCACATTCGGCTGGCACGCGTTTCATTGAATGTATCACGTTCACGTTAGCGCGCCGTTTGTTGTTTCAGATCGTTTCCGGGTAACTACTGGGATAAGTTTGTGAAGCGAAAGGTAAAGTCTTTCTCTGTTGGGCAGAAACTAAGTCAGCGTGGTCCTCTTATGTCATTGAACAAAACACCTTCAATTTTGTTTCTTTTTGATGACTCTTAGTTGCCTCACTTCAGCAGAGTTTTTCTAACCGATGCTCCTGTCGCTGAATCATCATGCCATTAAAATCCTATCGCCCTTGAAAGTCTCCACTACACCCAACGAGAGGCATCTAACAATGACGCACTGTCATCATCTGACGGACACTTTGACTCCATCTGTTCATCAACTTGCGTCATCTTCATATATAATCATCAGAAGTGACTTATTTACCCAGCGAGAATGCCTTGGGTCACCGTATAAAAAGTTGGTACCTTGAACGACTCCTGGTTCACTCTTCTGCAACGTCAGCGTTTACCCGGTCAGGACAAGTTCAGAGAAGAGCCGCGCGGCCTGAAGGATTGTGATGAAATGGGACCCCTGCCAGGAAAGCATGCTCCTTTGTACTTCAAGACAAACATATTTTCACTCACTCACGAAAACCGGGAGCGCTGATACGGTGGGATAGACATTAACATTAAGATTAAATCTGCTTGGCACTTTGGGAGACAATGGCGGATGTTTTGTTTGTTCTCTTTCGTTATTTACTGCATTCAAGCCACTGGCATCGTTTTAAGAGTCTTTCGGTATAACGGATGATGTGATGTCCATAAGTGCTTCGGGTAATTCACTTCTGGTCCAGCGTGGAGGTCGTGGAGACTTACATTCTGTTGAGCTGTCTGGTGCTGGCTCTTGTTTGAAAGTTAATAAATCAACCACTTAAGCCGCAGCAACACAGAAGACAGGCGCTCCAATTGTGTGGCACTAAACTGTTATTCCCATGAGTGAATTGGTGAAGTCCCATCAGATGTCTCCCAAAAAAATATATATTTTTTTTCTTCTTCAATTAACTCTTTTCACCCACCTTTCCCCTCCAGGTGATGGACAAGTATGGGGGCTTTTACGGCCGTGATAAGATGAGTGAACTTCTCGGTCTGGACCAGGCATCCTTAGACTTCAGCTCTGAGGGAACCGAGAGAAACAGGCTCCGAAAAGATGCTGCCTGGGTCACTCTGTGAGTACGAAAATGACATATTTTTGAACATTGATGGCATTTTCCTTTGAGTGACTTGAATGTTAGTTGAATGTACAGTATTATAAAACTCCATATTGCCACGCAATCAACCACCGAAAACACCCGCAAGACGGAAGCGTAGGGGCCGAAGACAAAATACAAGAAGCCAGCCTAACCGTGATCATAACTGGTAACTCGATTGTGCTCGCGAGCTGTTTATTTGTGATGCGTTCAACTGACGCCACCAACTCACGTCAACATGAGCTTCAGCCTGCTTCCAAAGTAGCTATCGTTACATTTCACGTCACAACCACAGAGCCCCAGGCTCAGCCCCACCTGGGCCTTCGCACACTTTTTTTTTTTTCTTCATCATAAATATTGACGTGTAACCTTTTATTTGTTGACGCATAACAACTCCCTAATGACAAAACACATTTCGGCTCCATGTGCATATTGACTCCGGTCTTGCCACCTTCTCACCAGGTAGTATCATTGCCAACGTCACCCGAAAAAGAAGCGGGCACATCACTTGAATCAGTGGATGAGGGAGACGAGGGCGGTGATTATTATGTTTTGGAAGAGAGCAGTGGTTACATGGAGCCATCACTTCACCTCCTGGCCATGGCGCACACGCTCATCTCCTTCTGTTGCATTATAGGTTACTACTGCCTCAAGGTACACCCGCTCAAATCACTTCGTCATATGGGCCTGCAAAGAGCTTTTTGGGTTTTGTTTATTTATTTATTTTTTTTACGGTACACAAAACGGCTGCATTGTTTCAAAGCGTGTGCTCGGCAGGTACCGCTGGTCATCTTCAAACGGGAGAAGGAAGTGGCCCGACGACTTGAATTTGACGGCCTGTATGTGGCACGGCAGCCCCCGGAGGAGGACATTAAAGGCCAGTGGGATCGGCTGGTCATTAACACGGCGTACGTTCACATTCGGCTGGCACGCGTTTCATTGAATGTATCACGTTCACGTTAGCGCGCCGTTTGTTGTTTCAGATCGTTTCCGGGTAACTACTGGGATAAGTTTGTGAAGCGAAAGGTAAAGTCTTTCTCTGTTGGGCAGAAACTAAGTCAGCGTGGTCCTCTTATGTCATTGAACAAAACACCTTCAATTTTGTTTCTTTTTGATGACTCTTAGTTGCCTCACTTCAGCAGAGTTTTTCTAACCGATGCTCCTGTCGCTGAATCATCATGCCATTAAAATCCTATCGCCCTTGAAAGTCTCCACTACACCCAACGAGAGGCATCTAACAATGACGCACTGTCATCATCTGACGGACACTTTGACTCCATCTGTTCATCAACTTGCGTCATCTTCATATATAATCATCAGAAGTGACTTATTTACCCAGCGAGAATGCCTTGGGTCACCGTATAAAAAGTTGGTACCTTGAACGACTCCTGGTTCACTCTTCTGCAACGTCAGCGTTTACCCGGTCAGGACAAGTTCAGAGAAGAGCCGCGCGGCCTGAAGGATTGTGATGAAATGGGACCCCTGCCAGGAAAGCATGCTCCTTTGTACTTCAAGACAAACATATTTTCACTCACTCACGAAAACCGGGAGCGCTGATACGGTGGGATAGACATTAACATTAAGATTAAATCTGCTTGGCACTTTGGGAGACAATGGCGGATGTTTTGTTTGTTCTCTTTCGTTATTTACTGCATTCAAGCCACTGGCATCGTTTTAAGAGTCTTTCGGTATAACGGATGATGTGATGTCCATAAGTGCTTCGGGTAATTCACTTCTGGTCCAGCGTGGAGGTCGTGGAGACTTACATTCTGTTGAGCTGTCTGGTGCTGGCTCTTGTTTGAAAGTTAATAAATCAACCACTTAAGCCGCAGCAACACAGAAGACAGGCGCTCCAATTGTGTGGCACTAAACTGTTATTCCCATGAGTGAATTGGTGAAGTCCCATCAGATGTCTCCCAAAAAAATATATATTTTTTTTCTTCTTCAATTAACTCTTTTCACCCACCTTTCCCCTCCAGGTGATGGACAAGTATGGGGGCTTTTACGGCCGTGATAAGATGAGTGAACTTCTCGGTCTGGACCAGGCATCCTTAGACTTCAGCTCTGAGGGAACCGAGAGAAACAGGCTCCGAAAAGATGCTGCCTGGGTCACTCTGTGAGTACGAAAATGACATATTTTTGAACATTGATGGCATTTTCCTTTGAGTGACTTGAATGTTAGTTGAATGTACAGTATTATAATACAGGTTTTGAGATGACTATTTTACTACTGTATTTCCCATTTAATTTCAGATTGAACTCCATTGACGTCAAGTACCAGGTCTGGAAACTCGGAGTTGTTCTCACTGACAATGTAAGTGGAGTCGGCATAAAGCCCGGAGGTTTCATGACTCTCGCTCGCTATCCAACGGTCACTTCCTGCGTTGTACGTTACCAGATAACGCGAGTGGAGCATAAATCATGTTTCGATGTTTCAGGGCTGAGTCCTCATTTGTTTTGACGTCGTGAGCTGCTGATTGTGATTTTGATGCAAATCTATGCGGTGCCTAAGTGATGAGCGTAATATCCTGTGATTTTTGCCTTATCTAGACTACGCATTGGTTTCCGTGCCATCTGTTCATTTCGTTTGTGTCTTTGATGTGTGGCCGCAGTCCTTCCTCTATTTGGCCTGCTACATGGCCATGTCAGTTTTGGGCCACTATAACAACTTTTTCTTCGCGGCGCACCTTTTGGACATCGCCATGGGCATTAAGACTCTTCGCACCATCCTCTCTTCTGTCACACACAATGGAAAACAGGTGTGCCTGTGTCTTTGTGTGTTTGTGAGTGGGTCCAGTTTGTATGTTTGTGTTGCTTTCTATGCTGTCAACTTTTGTTGATATACTGTATGAACCGGGATTTTGTTTCATGATGATTGGTTTTCCTACAAAGAAAGTTCACGTTGGTTGAAGTGACGTTTATGATAATTATCCCAAATGCTGTTGCTGTGCTTGTGTGTGGCTGCTAGTTGGTCCTGACTCTGGGTCTCCTGGCTGTGGTGGTCTATCTCTACACGGTGGTGGCCTTCAACTTCTTCCGCAAATTTTACGACAAGAGCGACGACCAGGGCGCCCGAGACATGAAGTGCAACGACATGCTGACTGTGAGTTTAAATGATCGAGCGCAACGTTTGTGTGCAGGGGTTCCTCGCTTTGCGACAGACTTACACACGCTGTTTTCAGATTCAGCACCTCTGTCCTGAATCTACTTCATTAGGTGCAGCTGCACAGTCTAATGAAATCCAATATAGCGTCGCCCCAAATTCTGCTTTTACAAAGATGACGGTGATCAGTTTTGATTGACACTGCTCTGGATCCCAGCCGCGTCTATTTTCCATATATCTGGAAAGCCGCACGGCTCGGCCTCGAGTCACGGCAAGATGACACTGTCAGTGATCCACTTCTTATTCCTCCCATCTTTTCACCCACCTTTCCCCTCCAGGTGATGGACAAGTATGGGGGCTTTTACGGCCGTGATAAGATGAGTGAACTTCTCGGTCTGGACCAGGCATCCTTAGACTTCAGCTCTGAGGGAACCGAGAGAAACAGGCTCCGAAAAGATGCTGCCTGGGTCACTCTGTGAGTACGAAAATGACATATTTTTGAACATTGATGGCATTTTCCTTTGAGTGACTTGAATGTTAGTTGAATGTACAGTATTATAATACAGGTTTTGAGATGACTATTTTACTACTGTATTCCCATTTAATTTCAGATTGAACTCCATTGACGTCAAGTACCAGGTCTGGAAACTCGGAGTTGTTCTCACTGACAATGTAAGTGGAGTCGGCATAAAGCCCGGAGGTTTCATGACTCTCGCTCGCTATCCAACGGTCACTTCCTGCGTTGTACGTTACCAGATAACGCGAGTGGAGCATAAATCATGTTTCGATGTTTCAGGGCTGAGTCCTCATTTGTTTTGACGTCGTGAGCTGCTGATTGTGATTTTGATGCAAATCTATGCGGTGCCTAAGTGATGAGCGTAATATCCTGTGATTTTTGCCTTATCTAGACTACGCATTGGTTTCCGTGCCATCTGTTCATTTCGTTTGTGTCTTTGATGTGTGGCCGCAGTCCTTCCTCTATTTGGCCTGCTACATGGCCATGTCAGTTTTGGGCCACTATAACAACTTTTTCTTCGCGGCGCACCTTTTGGACATCGCCATGGGCATTAAGACTCTTCGCACCATCCTCTCTTCTGTCACACACAATGGAAAACAGGTGTGCCTGTGTCTTTGTGTGTTTGTGAGTGGGTCCAGTTTGTATGTTTGTGTTGCTTTCTATGCTGTCAACTTTTGTTGATATACTGTATGAACCGGGATTTTGTTTCATGATGATTGGTTTTCCTACAAAGAAAGTTCACGTTGGTTGAAGTGACGTTTATGATAATTATCCCAAATGCTGTTGCTGTGCTTGTGTGTGGCTGCTAGTTGGTCCTGACTCTGGGTCTCCTGGCTGTGGTGGTCTATCTCTACACGGTGGTGGCCTTCAACTTCTTCCGCAAATTTTACGACAAGAGCGACGACCAGGGCGCCCGAGACATGAAGTGCAACGACATGCTGACTGTGAGTTTAAATGATCGAGCGCAACGTTTGTGTGCAGGGGTTCCTCGCTTTGCGACAGACTTACACACGCTGTTTTCAGATTCAGCACCTCTGTCCTGAATCTACTTCATTAGGTGCAGCTGCACAGTCTAATGAAATCCAATATAGCGTCGCCCCAAATTCTGCTTTTACAAAGATGACGGTGATCAGTTTTGATTGACACTGCTCTGGATCCCAGCCGCGTCTATTTTCCATATATCTGGAAAGCCGCACGGCTCGGCCTCGAGTCACGGCAAGATGACACTGTCAGTGATCCACTTCTTATTCCTCCCACCATTATTCCGGCAACCGAAAAAGAAGCGGGCACATCACTTGAATCAGTGGATGAGGGAGACGAGGGCGGTGATTATTATGTTTTGGAAGAGAGCAGTGGTTACATGGAGCCATCACTTCACCTCCTGGCCATGGCGCACACGCTCATCTCCTTCTGTTGCATTATAGGTTACTACTGCCTCAAGGTACACCCGCTCAAATCACTTCGTCATATGGGCCTGCAAAGAGCTTTTTGGGTTTTGTTTATTTATTTATTTTTTTTACGGTACACAAAACGGCTGCATTGTTTCAAAGCGTGTGCTCGGCAGGTACCGCTGGTCATCTTCAAACGGGAGAAGGAAGTGGCCCGACGACTTGAATTTGACGGCCTGTATGTGGCACGGCAGCCCCCGGAGGAGGACATTAAAGGCCAGTGGGATCGGCTGGTCATTAACACGGCGTACGTTCACATTCGGCTGGCACGCGTTTCATTGAATGTATCACGTTCACGTTAGCGCGCCGTTTGTTGTTTCAGATCGTTTCCGGGTAACTACTGGGATAAGTTTGTGAAGCGAAAGGTAAAGTCTTTCTCTGTTGGGCAGAAACTAAGTCAGCGTGGTCCTCTTATGTCATTGAACAAAACACCTTCAATTTTGTTTCTTTTTGATGACTCTTAGTTGCCTCACTTCAGCAGAGTTTTTCTAACCGATGCTCCTGTCGCTGAATCATCATGCCATTAAAATCCTATCGCCCTTGAAAGTCTCCACTACACCCAACGAGAGGCATCTAACAATGACGCACTGTCATCATCTGAGGGGGGGAGTGCAGGATTCAAGGCAAATAGAGCTCCTAAAAGAGCTCATGGACTTACAAAAGGACATGGTCGTCTTCTTGCTGTCCATGTTAGAAGGTATGTCAACTCCTCATGACGATGCAGAGGAAGGCTCTGGCTCGTTCCCTGGCAACGCTTGTGTATCAAACTAAAAAGTTTTGTCGCGGTATACTTGTGTGTGTTTCAAAATGAGAGAATCATTGAACCAAAAATGTCATCAAATGCCCCATAGGAAAGTAGTAAATGTTGTTTATACAACCCGCAAAACGGCGACCTACCACAGCATCCTCGCTTTTTCTGTGTATATTTTTTTTCTTTTTAATTCAAATCTACATTCAGGTTTAAGGGTAACTCTGTGATGAGTTTGAAATGAGGTGTTAATATTTTGGGATAGTAGTAGCAATTATCCGACTCTGTTAGGTGAGCATTTATTTGTGAATTTTTTTCCTATTTGCATCAAGGCTTGGTCCAGATTCTCAGCGAATAGTGCGGGTTCACTCTTCAGCTTTACTTCAAAAATCATGCTGGACAATGGCCTTTTTTCTTCCCCCCAATCCCTGCAGGTAACATTGTAAACGGAACCATCGGAAAGCAGATGGTGGATATGTTGGTGGAATCGGCGAGCAACGTGGAGATGATCCTCAAGTTTTTCGACACGTTCCTCAAACTTAAAGACCTCACCGCTTCGGATGTTTTTCACCAGTTTGACCCCGATCGCAAGGGCTGCGTCTCCAGGAAGGACTTCCAGAAGGCCATGGAGCTCTCCAAGCAGTTTTCACAAGTTGAAACTCTTTTCCTCCTCTCCTGCGTTGAGTCGGACAATCGGGAAATCCTGGATTACGAGGCTTTCGTGGATCGCTTCCATGAGCCGGCCAAAGACATCGGCTTCAGCATCGCCGTGCTGCTCACCAATTTGTCCGAGCACATGCCCAACGACTTAAGGCTGAGTGCCTTCTTGGAACTCGCCGAGTGCGTCCTGACTTACTTCCAACCCTATTTAGGCCGCATCGAGATCCTCGGCGGCGGCAAGCGCATGGAGCGCGTCTACTTTGAGATCAGTCAATCTAGCCGCACGCAGTGGGAGAAGCCTCAGGTGAAGGAGTCGAAGCGGCAGTTCATTTTCGACGTGGTTAACGAAGGTGGCGAGAAGGAGAAAATGGAGATGTTTGTCAACTTCTGCGAAGACACAATCTTCGAGATGCAGCTGGCGGCTCAGATCTCTGGCTCTGAAAGCGGAGAGCGACACGGGGGAGAAGAAGAAGAAGAAGAGGAAAACGAAGACGGAGGCCTGGATAAGAAGCGAATGTTTTTCATGTGTTCACCGACGTCTCTCATATCTATCAAAAAGCTTCGCGCTCTCACAAAAATGACCCTGAAGGATGTCCTCTTGTCATCTGTTGCACTCCTCAGAGTCCTTCTCGTTACTTTGCTCCGGTTCGTTTGTTTTGTAGTGAGCGGCACTAGCCACGTGCTCTACGTCGCTTTTGTCAATGGCGGACTCATCGAAGGGGCCAAAAGGATGACCCTGTCGGACGTGCTCGGCGGTATTCTCGACCCGACGCTTGATGAGGTCACGGAGGTAACAAGTGGTGCGGACCGGCTAAGGCGGCGCTCGGCCGCTTTCTCCCCTCGGCGGGAGAGCAGGCAGATAGAAGCCGTGACCTCCGGCATGGAGACGGACGTACTTTCTGACATATTTGGCCTCAAAGTCAAAAGAGACGGGGGACAATACAGCCTCGTGGCACAAGACGTGACGAGCCATCTCACAGATGTGTTCATCCGCAGTGACGCTACGTTTTCCGATGGACATCAGGGGCTGGTATTTGTTTCTATGAATTGTATCACTTGCAAAGTATTGAGTCAGTGAATTCACCGTCGATTGAAATAACTTTTTTTTTTTTTTGGGTGACCAGCTCAAGGCTGATGTGGCTGAAAAGGAAAAAGCTGAGAAAGAGATGATGCCTGAATCTGAAAAGTGAGTCATTTCTTCATGAAAACAGACTGTAGGCTTTGTTCAGAATCAGTCTCTCATTCCCGACTCCTGAATCACCATATAGGAAATTTTATATCGAGGACTCTATTGTTCACGCAATCAAATGGGGGGAAAAAAACCCCAAAACAAAATGATGTGCTCACCACTATTTTCATCATGCTGTGTTTTTAAAAGTGACTTGTTACAACCGTGTCGGTGTATGGCTGATTGCTACAAGTGTTCCCTTCTTTCCCTCTTGATTTATCTCGTTGCAGATGGGAGACGTGTGAGGAGACGATGTCGAAGGGGGAGGAACGGAAAGCCAAGAGACTCGCTAATAAATCAGAGGAAGCAGGAAGCCGGCATTCCGCTTTGGGAGAGATGATAAGGGCTCATCACAAGAGCTTACTGGTCAGATTCAAAAACAAATAATAATAATAATAATAATCATATCGAAATGCCTCGATGTTATGTAGTTGAGCAAACTGTAATGTTCTTCCATTTTCCCTGCAGAATTACTTTGCCAGGACATTTTATAACCTGCGCTTGCTGTCCCTTTTTGTCACCTTTGCAATCAACTTCATCCTCCTCTTCTATAAGGTTTGTGCGAATGCAGTTGCCATTCGCAAATTTCAAATGAAAATCAAAGTCACGATATCGGGCTGACATCAATTGAATGGTGCCGCGGATAGGCGAATACGAATTTTGAACTTCCGCACCGATTTTTACGTGTGTGAGAGACCCCCGCGAGTGACCAGGAGAACACTGGCGAGTGTGTGTTCTCATCAAAACTCCATATTGCCACGCAATCAACCACCGAAAACACCCGCAAGACGGAAGCGTAGGGGCCGAAGACAAAATACAAGAAGCCAGCCTAACCGTGATCATAACTGGTAACTCGATTGTGCTCGCGAGCTGTTTATTTGTGATGCGTTCAACTGACGCCACCAACTCACGTCAACATGAGCTTCAGCCTGCTTCCAAAGTAGCTATCGTTACATTTCACGTCACAACCACAGAGCCCCAGGCTCAGCCCCACCTGGGCCTTCGCACACTTTTTTTTTTTTCTTCATCATAAATATTGACGTGTAACCTTTTATTTGTTGACGCATAACAACTCCCTAATGACAAAACACATTTCGGCTCCATGTGCATATTGACTCCGGTCTTGCCACCTTCTCACCAGGTAGTATCATTGCCAACGTCACCCGAAAAAGAAGCGGGCACATCACTTGAATCAGTGGATGAGGGAGACGAGGGCGGTGATTATTATGTTTTGGAAGAGAGCAGTGGTTACATGGAGCCATCACTTCACCTCCTGGCCATGGCGCACACGCTCATCTCCTTCTGTTGCATTATAGGTTACTACTGCCTCAAGGTACACCCGCTCAAATCACTTCGTCATATGGGCCTGCAAAGAGCTTTTTGGGTTTTGTTTATTTATTTATTTTTTTTACGGTACACAAAACGGCTGCATTGTTTCAAAGCGTGTGCTCGGCAGGTACCGCTGGTCATCTTCAAACGGGAGAAGGAAGTGGCCCGACGACTTGAATTTGACGGCCTGTATGTGGCACGGCAGCCCCCGGAGGAGGACATTAAAGGCCAGTGGGATCGGCTGGTCATTAACACGGCGTACGTTCACATTCGGCTGGCACGCGTTTCATTGAATGTATCACGTTCACGTTAGCGCGCCGTTTGTTGTTTCAGATCGTTTCCGGGTAACTACTGGGATAAGTTTGTGAAGCGAAAGGTAAAGTCTTTCTCTGTTGGGCAGAAACTAAGTCAGCGTGGTCCTCTTATGTCATTGAACAAAACACCTTCAATTTTGTTTCTTTTTGATGACTCTTAGTTGCCTCACTTCAGCAGAGTTTTTCTAACCGATGCTCCTGTCGCTGAATCATCATGCCATTAAAATCCTATCGCCCTTGAAAGTCTCCACTACACCCAACGAGAGGCATCTAACAATGACGCACTGTCATCATCTGACGGACACTTTGACTCCATCTGTTCATCAACTTGCGTCATCTTCATATATAATCATCAGAAGTGACTTATTTACCCAGCGAGAATGCCTTGGGTCACCGTATAAAAAGTTGGTACCTTGAACGACTCCTGGTTCACTCTTCTGCAACGTCAGCGTTTACCCGGTCAGGACAAGTTCAGAGAAGAGCCGCGCGGCCTGAAGGATTGTGATGAAATGGGACCCCTGCCAGGAAAGCATGCTCCTTTGTACTTCAAGACAAACATATTTTCACTCACTCACGAAAACCGGGAGCGCTGATACGGTGGGATAGACATTAACATTAAGATTAAATCTGCTTGGCACTTTGGGAGACAATGGCGGATGTTTTGTTTGTTCTCTTTCGTTATTTACTGCATTCAAGCCACTGGCATCGTTTTAAGAGTCTTTCGGTATAACGGATGATGTGATGTCCATAAGTGCTTCGGGTAATTCACTTCTGGTCCAGCGTGGAGGTCGTGGAGACTTACATTCTGTTGAGCTGTCTGGTGCTGGCTCTTGTTTGAAAGTTAATAAATCAACCACTTAAGCCGCAGCAACACAGAAGACAGGCGCTCCAATTGTGTGGCACTAAACTGTTATTCCCATGAGTGAATTGGTGAAGTCCCATCAGATGTCTCCCAAAAAAATATATATTTTTTTTCTTCTTCAATTAACTCTTTTCACCCACCTTTCCCCTCCAGGTGATGGACAAGTATGGGGGCTTTTACGGCCGTGATAAGATGAGTGAACTTCTCGGTCTGGACCAGGCATCCTTAGACTTCAGCTCTGAGGGAACCGAGAGAAACAGGCTCCGAAAAGATGCTGCCTGGGTCACTCTGTGAGTACGAAAATGACATATTTTTGAACATTGATGGCATTTTCCTTTGAGTGACTTGAATGTTAGTTGAATGTACAGTATTATAATACAGGTTTTGAGATGACTATTTTACTACTGTATTCCCATTTAATTTCAGATTGAACTCCATTGACGTCAAGTACCAGGTCTGGAAACTCGGAGTTGTTCTCACTGACAATGTAAGTGGAGTCGGCATAAAGCCCGGAGGTTTCATGACTCTCGCTCGCTATCCAACGGTCACTTCCTGCGTTGTACGTTACCAGATAACGCGAGTGGAGCATAAATCATGTTTCGATGTTTCAGGGCTGAGTCCTCATTTGTTTTGACGTCGTGAGCTGCTGATTGTGATTTTGATGCAAATCTATGCGGTGCCTAAGTGATGAGCGTAATATCCTGTGATTTTTGCCTTATCTAGACTACGCATTGGTTTCCGTGCCATCTGTTCATTTCGTTTGTGTCTTTGATGTGTGGCCGCAGTCCTTCCTCTATTTGGCCTGCTACATGGCCATGTCAGTTTTGGGCCACTATAACAACTTTTTCTTCGCGGCGCACCTTTTGGACATCGCCATGGGCATTAAGACTCTTCGCACCATCCTCTCTTCTGTCACACACAATGGAAAACAGGTGTGCCTGTGTCTTTGTGTGTTTGTGAGTGGGTCCAGTTTGTATGTTTGTGTTGCTTTCTATGCTGTCAACTTTTGTTGATATACTGTATGAACCGGGATTTTGTTTCATGATGATTGGTTTTCCTACAAAGAAAGTTCACGTTGGTTGAAGTGACGTTTATGATAATTATCCCAAATGCTGTTGCTGTGCTTGTGTGTGGCTGCTAGTTGGTCCTGACTCTGGGTCTCCTGGCTGTGGTGGTCTATCTCCACACGGTGGTGGCCTTCAACTTCTTCCGCAAATTTTACGACAAGAGCGACGACCAGGGCGCGAGACATGAAAAGTGCAACGACATGCTGACTGTGAGTTTAAATGATCGAGCGCAACGTTTGTGTGCAGGGGTTCCTCGCTTTGCGACAGACTTACACACGCTGTTTTCAGATTCAGCACCTCTGTCCTGAATCTACTTCATTAGGTGCAGCTGCACAGTCTAATGAAATCCAATATAGCGTCGCCCCAAATTCTGCTTTTACAAAGATGACGGTGATCAGTTTTGATTGACACTGCTCTGGATCCCAGCCGCGTCTATTTTCCATATATCTGGAAAGCCGCACGGCTCGGCCTCGAGTCACGGCAAGATGACACTGTCAGTGATCCACTTCTTATTCCTCCCACCATTATTCCGGCAAATAATGGACAGCTGGATTAAAAAAAAAAAAAAAAAAGCAGCATCTGCACCAGATATAATATCTCTTTGTCTGGCCATTCGCAACACCCCCCCTGCCGCCTCCTCTATTCCGATGTACAGTCCCTTGTCACTCAGGGACGGACACGCATGGAGATAGCATTTGAATAAATCCCTTCTATTTTAAGAGGCAGGAGAGCTCTTACATGAAATCTTCAGTTCCTGTTCCTGTCTTATTGTGTATGCTTGACGTTGAGCAGCACTTGAGCAACCACGGTTCTCAGAATATCCTAAGTGCAGCACATATTTTTGCATTCATGTACGTGTTTCTTCAGTATGTGAGGCCTTGCCATATGAGACTTGGGTTAGAAAACAAAAAATGCACAACCATAAAAGGTGTGTCAGAAAATCCCCCGGCCTCCACTGCCCTTTTCTTTGAAGGTTTGTCATGTTCCTTCAGCTTTTGGTAGCCACCATTAAAAGCTATTTTGCACTTTCGGTCTTGTTTCCTCAAAGTAATGTCCTTGGCTCATGGGAGCGAGGTATCATCCCTGCTAGGCAACCAGACTCTCAATTTGTCCTGCCTCACGCACTTCTACAAAATCCTTTTGGGGATTTGTAGTCAAAAGGCAAAGAATATTGATTACACAGTTCTCTGCTCCTCTATGAAAACAAAAAATGTGCAGGACTGGCCCTGAATAATGATGGCAGTGGATTTTGAGGGCTTGAGTTATTCTTGACTTTCCTCTGCGTTTTTTTTTTTTTTTTTGGCAGTGCTACATGTTCCACATGTACGTGGGAGTGCGAGCGGGAGGGGGGATCGGGGACGAGATCGAGGACCCCGCCGGTGATGACTCTGAGGTGGAACGTATTGTCTTTGACATCACGTTTTTCTTCTTTGTCGTCGTCATCCTACTGGCTATCATTCAAGGTGAGTCGGACGGTGAATGGGTTTTGATCGTACCGGCACTTTACGCTTCAGCGTCGTAGCAGGGCAGCAAGAGGGAAATGCTGTCTTGCTTTGCATCAGCCATGGTAGAAAAAGAACAAAAAAAACAAGTAAATTGATGTGCACATAGCGACAACCGGGCCAAATTTGAGCATTTCTCACATTTTAAGAAATGTTAAATAACTACCCAGCTAGCCGATAAGTAAAATGCTAGCTGGCTCGGCGTCCTCTGTGACAAAAAGCTACTAAATTCATGTTGTCCTTCAACAAACAAACAAACAAAAAAAATACACGTTTGCTTTATCTGATTCAACGAATACAAATGAACCACAAGTGGCTTTTTTTCGACAGGCTTGATAATTGATGCCTTTGGGGAGCTGCGTGACCAGCAGGAGCAGGTGAAAAAGGATATGGAGGTGAGGCGTGACGGGAACACACACACAGACTGACATTCGGGGGTTCTCGCAAGTGCTTTCAATCCTCAAATATGGCTTTCACAACAAATAGTTGTCTGGCTTTGCAGTCTAAGAGAAATAAATTGAAATTTGTCATGTCCTGATGATTTTTTTCAATTACAGTAATATGAGCAAGTGATAAGTAGCTTATGATTTTTTTTTCTGTAAATTGCCAAGCTTCCATAATCGAAATGCTCCCGATTGTTCAGTGCCTTCACCTCAAACCGCACTCGAAAGCATTTCGCGGCATGTGATTGGTGCATTTGAGCAGAGAATACAAATTTTGTGCATGAACCTGGCAGCTTCTCCCCCAATTCAAATCATTTTGCTATTCAGGCTTTTTTGCCTTTCAGTTGGAGCGTGACAGTGGCTTTGAAGAGAAGGAACAACTTTGTTACAGTGTGGTGCCAGCAGACTAAACACCGTGACCAAATCCCATAACACGTCAAGTTTTTACATTCATTTCTCTCTCCCTCCCCGCAGACCAAGTGTTTTATTTGTGGAATAGGGAACGAGTACTTTGATAAAGTTCCTCATGGTTTTGAGACCCACACTCTGCAGGAGCACAACTTGGCCAACTATCTGTGAGTTAATTGCACTTTGCCGAAAAATACTCAAACGGCACTTTGTCCTCATGTGTGCCACCATCGGCAATAACTCTTTCTTGGACTTCTAACAATTTAATATATGTTTTGTAGTGCAAATGACCTGCTTGGATTTTATGGGCTCTATTTTCCAATCGGCGCAAGGGTTTTGCCAATTTGGCAGACCTGACTCCACCAAAATGGGTGGTTTGGAGATCATTTTATCAAAATTCTAAAATCATCTCATTGAGCGGAACAACTGTGGTTAGGGCACACCGACGACCGAGCGGTCTATACGTCCACTTCACGGCGCAGATGTGCTTCTGTTGTATCGAGACGCCCAATGCGCGACTAGCGCACCGCAGTTTAAGGTAATGAAAGGGAGCCGCTTTCATTTCAAGAGTGAAGTTGGGAGTGTACACTCCCACAGCGGCGCACCCAGTTGTATCGAGACGCCCAATGCGCGACTAGCGCACCACATTTTAAGGTAATGAAAGGGAGCCGCTTTCATTGCTCAAGATTGATGTTGGGTGTGTCCACTCCCACAGCGGCGCACCCGTCACGCGGGCTTTACATGGTGGTCAAGAAAATAGAGCCCTATGAGTTGATGATATACCTGATGCATTAACAGGCTCCCCACTTCAAAAAATATTCTCAAAAGTAGCTTTAGATACCAGATTTGCACGATTTTTATACCAGTGAGGTCAAGAAAATAGAGCCCTATGAGTTGATGATATAGTTGATGCATTAACTTCAAAAAATATTCTCAAAAGTAGCTTTAAAATAGCAGATTTGCACGATTTCTACACCAGTGAGTGTTGCATGTTCGATGCTTGGACTGATCTCTGGTGTCTCTGTCGTCACTTCTAAGCTCATTGGTCTTGTAAATCTACCACTGATATGAAGGCGTGAGTGGACACACACTAACCAATTCCCAAGACCTCAATAACGGTTTTCCTAACTAGCACAACAACTCTCACAGGCACTGTGAGTAGCAGAGTCATTTGTTCCCGTGTGTCTTCGCAGGTTTTTCTTGATGTACCTCATTAACAAAGACGAAACTGAACACACAGGACAGGTATAATTGTTTTCTCCTCCGTTCAAAAACTTGAGCCGTATCCATGTCAGTACATTGGTCATTTGTGCAATTATAGGTCCAAATTGCGCATTCTCACCATGCAATTTAATGAACGGTTCATAGCTGTGGTATGTTATTGTGCTAAGTATAAGTCAGAAAATACAAACACATACTTATTCTCTCGTCTCTGAAAGCATGTTGCTTCTCACAATTAAATTGGTTATTGTGAACAAACAGTAAATATTGACACATTATCGCTTGTGTTGACATAGGAATCCTATGTGTGGAAAATGTACCAGGAACGTTGCTGGGAATTCTTTCCCGTGGGAGACTGTTTCCGTAAGCAATATGAAGATCAGCTGGGATGAAAGGAATCCATTCCTCGATAATGTCGTCACATACTTTAGAAAGCCATCTGCGTTGTTGCCGTCTGGATTAACTGGAACTCGGTGTGCACACTTTCCATTTTGGACTTTGATGTCATTTTCCCTCACACATTAGATGTATTTGTGTATCAAAAATTCAGTGGCATAATGTATCATTGGAGAAATAAAAGGGAAATTAGCATTTTGGAGGGGGTGTCGTGGGGGGGGAACCTTTCATCAAAACAGCTGTCAAAACAAAGTTACAAAGACCTGCAATCCAAATTAAAGCTCGCAGCCACGCGCGCTCATGTTTTGTGACTGAAGTCATTTGTCTTGCTAATCGCAGCCTCCCAACCCTTCTCCCAGTGTGACATGCAGATAAACACTCTCCCTGTGGCATTTGTTCCCCAGCACACCTTTGAAGGATACTTCTTGCTTGTCATGACAATCTCTCCAGGATCCTCCTTGTCCTTCTCATCCCCCCCCACCTTCAGCTCCCATCCCTCATCTTCGTGTTTTGCGGCCTCATTATAAACGATCGTGTAGCGCGCTGACAGCTCAGGTCGCAATGTGTCCACGGAAATAGATCTTCAGAGCTTTAAATATTATTGAACATGAACTTTTTAAAAGCTTGTTTACAAATAGTTTGCTTTGTCCAGCCATCAAGTGTGAAATGAGCGAGACTTTGTGCACTCTTATAACTGAGTCGAATTTACATCATAACCACCGTTGTACCCCAGTTTCCCCTTCCACGATTGAAGCGGCTAGGCCAGGTGAAGATCCAAGGCCACTTTGATGCGATGGTCGGACTTTTTGAAACCCCGTTGTGCCGACACACCCACATGTCAAAGCCAAAATGTCAGCAGACCCACATTGAGCTTTGTCGGATGCACAGATTAGCATTAGCAGTGTGTTGCCTTCAAGTCGAGGCGTCTTTGGTGATTGCTTGTTCCCCTTGATTAATAGCTCCAATTAGCATGGTCATTTTGAATGATTCCTCTTGCCTCAGTCATAAAAAACTCAAATTTATAGAATGACTTTGTGGCACTTCATTGACAAAGGAGGACAAACATTTTAGCGCATCACGACTTTGAAAGCATGCCAGGTGTACAAATTCATCTGGCAGCTGCCCAGAGTCCAGATTGAAAACTTTGGTTGACCATTTCTTCTTCATTCAATAACTTGTTGCAAGTGCCGCACATCCCTGGGCTACGCAGTTTGTAATTCAACAAATTTGAGCATCATGTGAGCGCTAACTAAAGACCACCACCTGTCATCACCAGGATGACACCTTTGAACACACACAGCCACGATACAATTGTGATATTTGATGAGTTATGTCGTATTTGATGAGTTATGTCGGTGGGTGCTTCATTGCATGTTTTGTGTATAAAGGTTGCCCAAAATATCCGTCCTACTTGTCAGTACCCTCCATAGCGGCCGCAGTAATGACGCATTACTACAATTTGGTCTTTGGAACAGACGCCAGCTCATCCGTTACCCAAGTGAGATCAAATTTTGGACAGCTTCGTGGGTATATGTTTTCTGCCCCTTCCATGTTTACATGCTCCTTTTCCTCAACAGCAATCAGTCGGCTCCAGTTCCTTAATTTTATGGCCGGCTGTGTAAATTGAATGCCCATCTCTAGTTGTGTTCACTCAAATTGTGAACAAGATGAATTTCTTGTGCCAATGTTTCTCTGTTGCTCTCAGTGCTCTCGCCATTCGTGCGCTCAAGCCAAATGGATCGAGCTGCAGATGAGGTTTGGTCACATTTTCTCCAATTGACACCGGCTGCCCAAAATGTGATCAGTAGAACCGTACAACGGTAACAATATGTGACACATGTTGGCAGGCGTACTGACTACAAAGTCCCTTGAACCACGCAAGCTGTCCGTCTCAGTCACACTCTTCCATGAACGACCGGCTGGCGGAAACACTGCTGTTAAACACTTCAACATACGCAGACGACATTTGTTTTGACGCGCGCAAGTGAAAATCTGGCTGACGTCCGCCCAGCGTTCTGTATCACGTCGTGAAACCACAACGCTGAAGAGGGGGGGGGAAGAAATCGTGGCCTTAAAAGATGACCCGACCCTTGATCAGTCTTGTAGAGCCGTACTGCCACAACACAACCTCCAGTTAAAAATAACTAATGCAGGCTTAAAATAAAGGAAGCTGCTTAAATTTTAATGTTGGACTTCTTAAGGTTTGAAATATTTGATTTAAAATTCATAAACCCCATTAAATTCGACCCATTTCTTTATCGGATAGCTATCGCATAGACGAGTTGTTGTTGGGAAGAATACCAAGCTTGCAATTAGATTTCTTTGATTCTCCTCCCTCTGTGAGTATGAAACGGAATTGTTGTTTTCTCATGTTGTACAACAGCCAAGAATGCGGACATGTGAGCGAGCAGCAGCCTTTAAAGATCCTTTGCTGGCTTCTGTGTGTTGCCATATCGATGTACACTTATTTTCTAAATGAGCTTTTCTAAATTAGCTACAAGAAGATAATAGACGTGTGCGATTTGCTTCCTGACAGGGTGGACATTTTTGGATGTTGACATTTGGTGGACCTTCATTTAGCAACATGATTGAGTAGCAAGATGACTGCGCACTGTTCAAAAAACGTTTTTTTTTTTTTTTTGTTTGTTTTTTTACATTTTTTTAAACGTTTTCAAACCAATTGCTCTTTCTCCATGACAGAGTGGACACTTTAAAACTGACGGCATCCAACTACTCTACACACGATGATGAAAATTGTGAAACCCTCGGGGCGATATTTGCTCTGCGACGAATCCAATGTTTCAGCCTCCACGGACAAAAATCAAAACACTTGCGGCACCGTCATCTGAAAACAACAGGAGGGCCGGTTACCGCATCATGACAGGACGGACTGCCGTTTAGGCAGCAAAAAAGAAATCAAAATAGCTTGTTCACAACATCGTGGTAAACCGTTTTTTTGGCTGAGTATCATTTGACCGCTTAGTACACACACTTAAGTTTGCGCAGCAGTGTGTGCGACATGCAAAATCACGTTCATGAAAAATATCAGCAAATGGCAGTGTGAGAGACTTATTGTACTGGAGTTGGCCGTTAATCATCAGCCCTCACAGTTCAATCATTCTGCTATGATGACTGGGGGATTCTAACGAGGACAACGAAGGCACTCTAAATTGATATTGACCCGATTATGAATGTCTTTTTGTGTGTATTCACAGTGTCCGCAGACTTGACTGACTGCTTACCGTTTGTACCGTCAATACCTTGAATTTGGATGAACCGAGGATCCCTCCGTGTACTCGACAGCTGTCGCGTGAGCCCCTTGTGATCAAAGCTCTTTTTTCCTTAATTGTGCGTCAGATATTATTTTTCACTCCGTTACCCATCCTTATACCGTACAATCCGACTGAATAGTATGCGTGCCTTTTACCATAGCGCTCCCTCTCTATATACTTTTGTACCATTGATGACTTATTTTGTGACTCCACCAGACCCACAAATATGAACTGATGTGACCGGGGTATGCGGTGATAAATGAATGCAGCCGTATATTTATCATCGCACTCTTTGCCAAATAAATAATATATGGATCATGCCCGGCAGCTCTGCATTATTCAGCTTTTCTGAAAACGTATGTGGAGGCTTAATAAGCAATTGAGACCGAGGGCTTTAGGTTAGCCACATGACAGATGGATATGCATGGACGGGACCCCGCGGAATGATTCCACACGGCCGCGAATAGCGCCTCAAATCGTCTCCGTCATTCTGAAGATGTCGCCTCTGCGCCCCTCCCAATCTATCATGGAAACGTAATCCGCGCTGTAAATCAATGCGAGATGACTGGAGGAGGGGGACAGGGAGGGTGGAAGTGTCGGCCCCGATGGCACTCATACCTGAGGCTGAGAGCCTTGAATCAAACATGAGCCGCGCTTTCTCTGATTTCACTTTTTGTCATCTCATGTCTGCCCGGCCCATGAGATCGCGCGCCGCCTGGTTTGATACTCTGCGGGATCTCGCGGCCGCTTGTGCCTCTCAGATTAAGCTCCAGACGGAGGCTGCTGCTTTTTGTTTTCCCCGTCCCTTCTGATGAAGGAAATCAACTCCAACCCTACCCGCCGGGGACGCGGAGAAATGTGAACGCTTTTTTTCAGCACGAGCGGAGTCTTGCTCGTGCATTTCATAATACGAAAGTACATTCGTATCGGTTCCTCGCCGCTCTTAAAGTGTGTGTGGAGCACTTCGCCACGGTCAGAACAAAAACGACTTTCCTCCCCTCAACCAGGCGTCTGTCGTAGTACTGAGACTGACCTGTGATAGGCAGCGTGCAGACACCGTGAATCCTAATTGACAGAATATCGAAGAAGACAGTAGGAGGAAGAGAAGATGAAGTTGAAGTATCTCCACACTTCAGGATTTGCCATCGTAAATAGTGTACTTGTTTAATCGTGGAGGAAAAATCACTCGACACTACGACAGGATAATCGCTCGCGATAAACTTGCCGACGTCCCACAATCGGGCAGACGTGTCAATGGAAGGTCTGGGAAGTAAAAACACCTGCCACAGTTTTGCTCGAGCCACAGATGCTTCCGACTCAACCGACCGGGAAACGAGATTCAATAAATCGACCCGATTATCAGTATGCGTGTATCACGTTCTAAATACATAGTTGATGCAAATTGGAGACATTTTCACAGTCACTCCCATGACTGCCTGCACAATTGAATTGTCTCTTCAATGTATGCAGCCAGGTGATGGGCACTCCAATCATTTCCGTGCGGCATCCTTTTACGATTTTTCTTCCGTCCACCATGCTGTTTTATGTGCATTTTTTTTCTCCCTCTTAATTGGAAGCAGCAGTGACAGGTCCTATCTATCCGATGCAAAACAGCATGACATATGTGTGCGGGCCAATAAATAGGACAAGCTGAGTTGCTGCGTAAAACAATGCAGGCTGAGCGAAGCGAAGCCGGTTTCGCCCTTATTTTGCTGCTACGTGTATTGCTTCATGACAGTCGGACTGACCGATGCGTTCTCATTACAGCTTTAATTTTTGTATGGAGTATCTGTCTTCCAGTAAACACAAATCAGCAGCAGTGATGAGTGAAGAGCCCTTCCAAATTACCATTTAGATTGGGCAACACCATGCCAAGAAATGGCTGGACGAGGTTCACTAAGTAAGAGCAATGGCGCACGGCTGCAGACCAGTGAGGAGATACTTGGAGTGACAGCGTCATCGCTCGTCCAGTGTTGCACTTTTTTTTTTTTTTTTGGTAGCTGCCTGCAGCTGAGTTCATGTGCAGGACTTTATGCGCGACGATCTGACTCGCTGAAATGCGAAAGGAGACAGGTGCCGCCTTAAATAATTTAGGATGGCAAATTGGCTCACTCGAGGTTTAGGCCATAGCGGCTTGGGAAGTGACACATTTTTTATTCCCACCCCCAGCCGTGCAGAATTATGGCTGGCTCAAAAAGCGCATGTATGAAGTCGGGGTGAAATGACCGAAGATTTTGTTTGTTTGTTTTGTTTTGTTGTAGTAGTAGTACAATGGACTCCCACTATTTGGGCGGGCTTGCAAAGAGTGAAAATCTACTAAATTGTTGTCCATTGAAATGCATTTGGGGGTTAGGAACACCCCCCAAAGAGAAATAAATAAATATATATATCGATATATATATATATAAACAGGGGAAAACAAGAAAAACACTTATTAAACATATTGGGGGGGGGGAAATGTCAATATAAAAGCCAGATAATATGCAAACCACAAGTATGGGGGGGGGGTCTACTATACACTAATCAATAGGGTTGAAGTCAATAACATCTTTGCTATTTTTCGTCCCAGTACAGTGGCCCCCAACATTTTTGGCGCCCTGGACAAGTTTCACGAAAAGACATATCCTGACAGACCGATCCAGAAAGGATTCGAAATCAGCAGTTTTTTGTTTTGCTGTTTC